TCTATTCTCTATTCTCTTCTCTATTCTCTTTCTTCTCTTTTCTATTCTATATTCCCATTCCATTCTCTCTTCTATTCTATATTCTTTCTTCTCTCTATTCTCTTTTCTATTCTATATTCCCATTCCATTCTCTCTTCTATTCTATATTCTTTCTTCTCTCCTCTATTCTCTTTTCTATTCTATATTGCCATTCCATTCTCTCTTCTATTCTATATTCTTTCTTCTCTATTCTCTTTTCTATTCTATATTCCCATTCCATTCTCTCTTCTATTCTATATTCTTTCTTCTCTCCTCTATTCTCTTTTCTATTCTATATTGCCATTCCATTCTCTCTTCTATTCTATATTCTTTCTTCTCTATTCTCTTTTCTATTCTATATTGCCATTCCATTCTCTATTCTATTCTATGAGATGCTTTGGAGCAGGAGCGTGACGGGAGCGCAGGAAAAGAGGTGCTTTTTTGAGGGGGGGCGGTGTCGGCTTGCAAGCAACCCAACTCTCGGTCCCGGCTACCCTTTTCCCCATGTGCGCCGGGATCAGTGAAGGATGCCCCTCGTGGCTGCATTCCCACCTGGCTGGTTCTCGCGTGGGGCGAACTCAACCGCTTTCGGTCTTCCGGATGGCCAGCGTGGAGCAGCTCGGCTTCCATCCCCCGGGAAGTTGTTGCGGGGCGCAGCCAAGAGCAGCCCCCACCCCGCCGCGGCCCCACGAAGCCTTCGCTGCCAAGCCGTCTTCCCTCCTCCCCCCTCCCCGCGATTTCCCCCCGCCCACCCCAAGCAGCATCCATTCCAACGGCCAACAGAAGCACACGAGGCAACCTCGTCACTCAATATATAGGTTTCTTTTAATATAAAAAAGTGTCTATTAAAAATTCCTTCCTAAATACACAAAAAGACCAATTGGGGTGCGGGAGAGGGAGCAGTAAAAGAAGGAGGAGGTGGGGGGGGGAAGAGGAGTGGTGGTGGGAGGGGGGGAATTCGGGGGGTGGACGAAGACGATTTTTTTGGCCAGGGAGAGGAATCAATCAAGCAAGCAGCAGCAGCGGCGGCGGCGGCTCAGATGGTGCCAATCCGGAGGGTTTGGAGTCTGTTCGTCTCCAAGCAACTACCAAGGGCTGGTATATTTAGATGCACAAATGGACAAAACACAGGATGGGGTGATATTTTTTTTCTTTTCTTTTTTTTTTCTGCACGATCCACAAAGCTGTACGGAAGTTTTTTTTTTTTCCAAAACAGGAAAAGGAGGGAATTTAGAGAGCAGGACAAAAGGCGGGTGGGGAGAAGGGGGGGGGGGGGAAAAGGGGGGGGGGGAGAAAAGGGGAGAGTCGCACGCATGCGCACACGCACACACCCTGAGCTCAGCACTGGCATAAAAGGGCGCACGCGGAGGAAGGAATACTTGATACTCATTTGGGCTTCCAGGTGGCCAATGAGAACTCAGAAAACTTCGCTCCCTTCCCTCCCTCTCCCCCTCCCCTTCCTCAACGAAAGGGTGTATTTATTAGCTTGTCTATTTTTTTTTCCCTAGTTTTTTTTTTAATACAAACTTGGGTCTTTGGGTGTGTCCTGCCAAAACAAAACAAAAACAACCCAAAACAAAATATTTGTTTTTCCTCAAAACTCCCCCCCCCAAACAATAGAAAAAAGGAACTGAAAACCTCAATGAGAAACCCATGCTGAAATTTGCACATCACAAAACCACAGCAGATGTACAGATGCAATATACAATTCACGATTTATAATAAAACATTATATACAATAAATAGGTTCTTGTTACTTTTTTTTTTTGTCAATCTGCAAATAAGATTTCTCAGTGCATATCCGACACAATTAGCTTCTCTCCTGCTTTGACTCTCTGGCCGCCTTTTTTTTTTTTCCTTCTTCTTCTCCATTATTATTATTATTATTATTTGTCTTCAAAACATTTCAGATTTTGAATGTATGTGTGTGTGCGTGTGTGTATGAATGGGAGGATACATCTTGGTGGTGTTTGCTCTTTTGTAATTTTTCTTTTCTTTTTTACATTTTTGAAAAGTATTTACAATTGCTGGTTTTGTGCAGATAGAAAAGGCCCGTTTCCCTCAACCCTCCCTCCCCTCCTTCCTTCCGATGGAGAAGACATGCTTGCGAGCTTCTCCCAGTCAGATCCATCTGGCACTAAGGGGGCAGAGAGGAGCAGTAACAGAGGAGCGGGGGCCACACAGAGAGTAGTGTGGGGAGAGTGCCCCAAAAGGCGATGCAAGTCTTCCGTGGTCTTGCTGGAATCTCTTGGTCGGTGGTGGTGGTGGTGGTGATCTTCGCTGGTAGATCTCTCGTCTCCCATCCCATTCCAACAAAGTAACAGGTCACAAGGAGCCGGTGTGTTGCATGCTTATAACAAGGGTGGTGAGAAGACAGGGATCTTCTTCCTTTGGGTAACAGAAACTGAGAACAGAAAAAAGAAAGTTTACTACATGCAAAGTGGAGGCAGGTGGGCAGTAGCTGGAGATCAGCCTAAGGGAGAAGAACCACAACTGGATAATGCAAATAAGGGACACAGATCGTGGAAAATAACAGAAATGTCCTTTTTCAAATTAGAGTTGAAATGCAAAGTGGCTTTGGATTTATTTACTTAGTTTAAAGCATTTGTATGGCTGTTCATCTCATAAACCGGTGGGCAATCAAAAGATGATCTCAAAAGAGCAAAGCTTCTTCTCAACCTTGGTCAACTGAAGATGTGTGGACTTCTGACTCCCAGCACTCCCCAGCGAGGAGTTCACCCACGTCCTCAAGTGGCCAAGGTTGAGAAACACTCTCCAGAGCAGGGATGAGCAACACGTGGCTCTGGAGCCGCATGTGGCTTTTTCATCCTTCTGCTGCGGCTCCCTGTGGCCAGTCGGCTCCACAATTGATAGGGCTTTCAGTTAGGACAGGTAGAGGAAAAAGGATGCCATGCTAGGAGGAGACTCTATGGTGGCGGAACCGGACTTCCGGTCAGGAGAAGAAAAAGGACGCCGTACTAGGAGAAGACTTGTATGATGGGGGAGCTGGACTTCCAGAATTGAACGCGGGGCTTCCATTTAGGACCTTTGTGGCTCTGAATGCTTAAGGTTGCTGACCCTTACTCTAGAGCAGTGTTTCTCAACCTCAGTTGCTTTAAGACGTGTGGACTTCAACTCCCAGAATTCCCCAAACAGCCATGCTTCTTTCTGGGAGTCGAAGTCCACACGTCTTAAAGAAGCTGAGAAACACTGCTCTAGAGTACACTGCCTGCAGCCTGTGTTCCTCCTATCTATGGTTCAAAATCTTGGTATCTGCACGGTTATTCCTGGTGTTCCTACTTAGTCACAGTTCTCCAACATTTTACAGAGGCTTTTCCTAGCCCTAATCTGATTCAGACAGGGCTAGCATCTTCCTGGCTGAGGAACTCTGAGTCCATAGACCTTAAAGTTGCCAAGGTTGGATACCTTTGCATTAGAACAGTGTTTCTCAACCTTGGCGACTTTAAGCCCTGTGGACTTCAACTTCCAGAATCCCCCAGCCAGCACAGCTGGCTGGGGGATTCTGGGAGTCGAAGTCCACAAGACTTAAAGTCACCGAGGTTGAGAAACACTGCATTAGAAGTTCTGCAACTCATGATGCTGGGTTAATTCACAAGGCTTATCGGCTTGTCTTATGTGCTTGGCTTTATATGCCTTCCACGTGTACATCTGCAGTGTAGCTTGCTGACTGCCAAATTGGTTGAGGTGGAGTAAGGTGGTTAGGTTGCTGATCTAAGACAACCTTCTCCAAGGGGTTAGACCTCAACTAGCAATTGGATAGTG